GCTTGGGAATGTTTACTACTAACTAGATCTCTCCTCTCCGTCCTTCCACACAGAAATCTTGAGAGGGTCCCATTTCCTGCTCTTGTAACTCAGAGAAAACTATCCTTTCATTTCCAGAAAATGAAATCTCCTTATTTGGCGGGGGGGGGGGGAGTTGGTCAGTAGAGGAGCAGTCGAGAGTCCGCTCCATTTTCCACAAAAATCTGGAAGGTGGAATAGGGGGAAGCAAAGGGAGCTTGGGCTCTAAAGGGCGAGTCCCCGGAGGTGGAGCGGAGTTCACCGCCCAGTGAACCCGCTCGGCCGGCCACGCAGCCCTAGGCCCCCGCCCCGCGCCCTATTGTCCTCCGTGCGAGCCCGGGGTCGTGACCCAGCTGAAGGCGACACCGCACCCACCCGGAGCGGACGCGGCGTGGAAACCGGAGGAGGAGCCGGGCCGCCGGCGGCCTCTCGCATCTCGCCCTCGCACCACGCTTTTGCCCGGGCTGCTCACATTTCGCCATCTTCCAGACCCTGGCCGCTGCGAAGAGGGGAGCTGTGACCACCCCCACTCCCCCCCCACCCCGACCCCGGCCCCGGCCCCGGCCCGAATGCAGGCAGTTGCTCTGTGCCCTGCTGTCTTACTCCCGGCTTCCTGGGAAGCCAGAGGCCGGGAGCGGGAACCTAGGGTTGGGCTGTTTGGCCGTGCCTCAGATACGCTGTGATCTAGGGTTTCTCCGCCCAGCAGTTCAAATATACTTCCCACTCCCAATCTCTGATGCTGGAAGAGAGAAGGTCAGAAAGGAGTGAGTAGAGGCGACACTTCTCTGGGCTGGATCCATAGCCCATCACCACTGGCAGCTGGCAGAGCGGATCCTACAGGACCCTACATCTTAGGGAATCTAGCAATTGCTGATGGGGACTGGAACTTTAAAATAGTCCCTTTCCATTTATTAGACTGTGTAACCCTATTTACACTCCAACATACTCTGAGACCCTCCCTACCCATTCTTGTCTCCCCTGCCTCCTAGTTCATCAGCTAGCTGGGCCTGCAGGAAGCGGCAGGCTGGAAGACTGAGTGCTGCAGAGGACCTTACCCCTGCTTGCACGGTTGTGGGCTTGGCCTCTGGGTGGATCCTGTGTTCAAAGAAGCTACAGAGCTGACACCAGAGAGAAGAGCAGGAAAATCCTGACGCATAGAGGGAGAGCCAAGCCTGAGAAGAGGCTCCTGGACGTGGGGGGCAGTGAGCAGACCTTGGTTTCTCTCTGCTCCCCAAGTCCAAAGGGGATCTGAGCTCCTGGAGCTGCACAGATTTTAAGATGGCTGAGGGGGCCCTTTAGGTCTCCGGTTCAAACGGCTCACCCTACTATTTTTAATTCTCAAGAAGCAGCTAAAACTCGGACACTCAGAGCAGCCACACACTGCAGGAGAAAAGTTGAAATGGGGCTAGCGAGATGGGATGCAGAAAAAGCAGGCTGAGCGGGGTGGTCAGTTCCATCAGAAAGATTGGTTACAGGCAAAGACTTTTTTTTTCTACTAAATCTCCCAAATGTTTATTTTGGGCCCCTACTCATCCAGATAAATCAGGCTAACAGATTAGGAAGTTCATAAAATTGTATTTAGGTAATGATATCCAGAGAGGTAATAAATATTCCCTCGGCAACTGATGGCTGCTGGAGTTGGGGGTTCCTCCATCTCTTTTTCCAAGTCAGACAAGGATTTCTTGAAAGGGGAACACTTTCATAAGAATGAGCTCTCCAAAAGTGGGGTGCCAGATAGAAGCTGTGGAAAACCATGAGAAGTGGCTTTGTGAACCACGCTCCCCCAGGACTGGGCAAAAAGCTGAGAAAAAGATGGTGAAATTGCCCCAGCACGCTGCTCCTCCCCATTGTAGCACCCTCCATCTCAAGGACACCCTTCGGAGTCAGTCTCTTTAATCTTAGAAAAGCAGACAAACTGTGCCTAGCAGAGCATACCCTGGCCCCAAGCTCCAGAGAACCCCTTAATTGTTTATCTTCCCTAGCACTCCCCCAAACACACACATATGCGTACATCTAACAGCAGGAAGACGTCTCTGGGTTGCAATCCGCCCAGTCCATGCTCAAAAAAAGCTGATGCACAGATCGCAGAGAAAACTTGGTAGGAAACTTCACACAAGTGGCAGCGAGAGGCCCTTAGAGAAACAAAGTTCCCCAGTCCTTCCCATCAGGCTCACTTTTTCGACTCTCTCTCTCCTTTTTGAGCCAAGTTTCTTCACTCCTCAGGTACACGACTCTGCACAGAAACTCCATTCTTCCCTAGCAGAAGCCCTCCGCTCCTGATTGGATTTCCCGCCTTCCCTCCCCAAGACCGGGAGTTGAGATAAAAATTGAATCGCAAACAGAGATAGAGTTGAAACTGCTGTGCTCCTCACCCCCAGAGCAGATCAGTGCTAACTACTTACATGTCAAGGGGATTTTTGACCTGTGGGGAATCTCCTGGTGCTTGGAGAGAAGGACCTTGGAAGACTGGTGTCGCCGTTTTCACCCCGTCTTCTTTTTACTTAGCCATTGGAGAGACACACAATACACTAGCAGGCATTCATGCGTCTTGCCTCTCCCATTACTCGCAAGAAATCCCCAGCCCTACAAAAGCAGTGGCATCCTATCTGGAGACCAGGGGCTGAGCAAGGGCTGGCTTGGGAGGGTTGGAGATGGGGGTGGGGGAGAGGTCAGAGGCGCTGCCGAATATAAAGGCAATGGGAGAGAAAATGCTGTGTCCTCCCCGTGAACCTGGGCTGCGTCCTCCCCGCTCCCCCCACCCCCGACCCCCCTCCCGCCCCCGCCCCCCCAGCCTTTTCCCACTGCTCAACCCAACTTCAATAAAAGCTCTGGCCCTCAGCTTCCCAGTGAGGCTGTAGCAGCATCCAGTGGACCAAGACAGCTGGAGCTAGGAGCCCCGGCCCAGGTCGGTCCCCACACCCGACATCCTACTCCTCCCAGCCAGCCTGATCCCATTCTAGGTGGCCAGGTCCAAGGCAAAGGAGAGTTTTAGGGAAAGAGGAGAGAATGGAGCTCACTGGAGGGAAGGCCAGCGGCCAAAATTTTCCAAAAATCAAATGTAAGAGGGTTTAGTTTTGTTTTATTTGTTACAAACTAGGGATGTCTGATGTTTCCCCTTTTCAGACAGAGAAGGACAGAGAGAGGAAGGACAGAGTGACCATGTGTGTATGTGTGAGAAGAGGAATTAAAAACAGAAGCCCCTAAAGAAGGAAAAAGAAAAGAACTGTCCCAATCCTTTTATGCTGCTTTTCCAGAGCTAGAGCATGTCCCTTCAGCAAGTTCAGGAAAAAGCATAAGACATAAAAGAGAGTGAATTTTCCCCTCCTTGCTTTCACCTCTTCCACTTTAGGGAGGACAGGGAATAAATTCCCCTGAAACCAAATGAGCAAAGTTAGGAAAGGACTATGGATCTTAATTTCCATTTTCCCCTCTCTTTCCATCTTAGCTTCCTTACAGGATGGGAAAGACACCCAGGTCCACCCCTCAGACCTTCCTTCCCTTCCCCCAAGCACAACTAGACCCCCTTTTCCTGCCCCAAAGTCAATTGCCTCAAGATGATGGGAGCCACGGTCCGATTTGGCCCCTAATTCACTTGATTACATAAAATCACTCCAGATAATTGTTGGCCCTGCTTCCTCACACTGTAGGCAGCTTGTTTTGCTGTCCCCAGGGCACCACTGAGGGAGGAGAAAGTAGACCTACAGGACTGATTCCCCCCAACACACACACACACACACACACACACACACACACACACACATACCATACACGCTAAGTACCAGCAAGCAAGTCCTTCAAGAGGAATTAAATCCAAAGCACACCAAACAGATTTTCATAACTTGGTTCTTCTGTTGCCTTTCACTCCAGAATTTGAGGAGAGAGGACAGCGGTATCCATGGCTCCCCTACTTACCCCAGATATCTTCTCCCTCTCTCTTCTACCTCTGATAGCCCTCCATCCTGAAATTTGGTTGAACTGCCTGAGAAGCTCACCAACTACCTCCTCACCTTCTCCCAACAAACAAGCAAAAATTTGAGCAGGCCTTGCTCAGAGCCTGGTCCCCAGGACCAGAATTCTTTGGAGGCTTTGGCTTAAATTAATCATTCAGGTAATCCAGCTCAGTTTTTTTTTTGTTGTTGTTTGTTTGTTTTAGCCCCCAAGGAAACAATTAAAAAAATTTTTTTTTACAACCAGGCAGCCTTGTTCTGCCTATCCCAAGCCCTGAGGGGACCTGGGAAGCTGTAGGAAGAGGGGTGGTCCCTGACTCTCCCTGTGTCTTTTCTCAACACCTGGCAGGTCCATGATAAAAGTTAGGGGGAAAAAATAAAAGCGCTTCATTATCTCTAGGAATCAGGCTTTGAGGCCTACCCATGCAAGGGGGCCTCCCAGGCCTCTGGCCTCCACTTCACCCTTCTTTCCAAGTCTAAACAAACAGAGAAGCCATCCTGACAGGTCACTTTGCTGCTTCAGAGTCACCAGCTCAAAATGTTTCTTCTTTTAAGGAGAACAGGCATGCTGAGTGGGCATCTTCCTTAATCCCTTATTCCCAAAGAGCTTCCCAAAGATGAAAACTCTTCTTCCTCCCAACTCCCTAAACTTGCCTTCTAGTCTGCAAATTAGGCAGGCCTACTCATCAGAGAGAAAGGAGAAGAGAGGAGAAGGAAATAGACAAAAGAAGGCACTGTGCTTAACTCTAGAAAAGTGAGACACCCCCCCTCCCAGCTCCACTCTAAGTACCCCCAGGAGAGTCTGGCCTCTGCAGACTCAGGGAGAAATTGGCCCTAATCTTCCACATCCCCTCCCCTGAGATCCTCTGCCCCAAACCTTTTGCTGGTTCTTCTAAGGACCTTGGGAAACTGGAGTTGAGAGTTAAGATTTGTGTGTTTGCTTAGAGTAAACTTCGGCAACTATATAGAGAAGGTGGGATGTTATACCAGGTCAGAAGGAGGAGGGGGATAAAAAGAAACCATCAGACATTGACGTAAAACTAATTCACATCCACTGGTTTATTATTGATCACGGGGCATTTCACATCGACACTAAAATTCTTTATTGCAAGTTTTACAATAATCAAGTAAATTCAGTCCAAAAACACAATAACCACGATGGGGGTGGTGAGGGGTATCCTACCTATAGACTGCCTCTCTGAACTGAAAGTTCATTTTTATTTTCTTTTGGCTCCTCAAACTGAACAGCTCTGAGAGGCTCTCCAGATGCATTTAGCTTTGTCTGCTGTCTTCCCCCCCTCTCCTCCCAGCTCCCCCCAACAATAATACAAAAGAACTTCATAGCTTTGTTCTCCCTAAAATGACTTCCCCCTCACTAACCTCCCCTGGTGCATTTTCAATGCAAAAGGCCTAAGGAAAGAGCGGGGAAGGAGGAGGAGGAGAAAGAAGAAGGAGGAGAATTGGCTTAAAAATCTCTTTCCTTTTTTCTTTTCCTCATTTCCCCTGAAACGCACCTAAACCACACCATCGTACCTTGCAATATATAATTTTTGCAGTTTTTTTTCCTTAAAAAATAAATAACCCCCCAAAATGGCCTTAAAAAAAACCCCAGCAGGTACCATGCTAAGAGAACATCACATGCTTAAAAGGGTCCTTAACAGTGGAAAGGAGAGAAGGGCAGGGGGCTTGTTTGTTTATCTGTTTTGTCTGTTTGGAAACGACAAGGGATAAGGTGGGAGGAAGAGAGAAAAGAACCAAAAAATATATATATATATTAAATTCTATAAATAAGAGTCAATTTGTGTGTGAGGGGAGGATGGGGGCCTGGGGTGGGGGCAGGGTGTGAGTTATGTTTTATAACCTGGTAATGTCCTCTGCCCGTTGCTGCTCCGGTGGCGTGGCGCTCTGGGAGTGGTCTTCAGAAGTGCCCTGGGTGGCTGCCGAGAGGGTGCTGGGCGCAGCCCCGGCCGGGGGCGCTGACCTGACTTTGGTGTTGGGGAGTCGGTGGTCCTTCTTCCATTTCATGCGACGGTTTTGGAACCAGATTTTGATCTGCCTCTCAGAGAGGCACAGCGAGTGGGCGATCTCGATCCTTCTCCTTCGGGTCAGGTAGCGATTGTAATGAAACTCTTTCTCTAATTCCAGGACTTGCTGCCGGGTGTAGGCTGTCCTCGAGCGCTTGGGTTCCCCTCCGTTATAATTGGGGTTCACTGGGGGAGGGGGAGGGGAAAAGCAAATAGTGGGGTTCAAAGGCAGCAGGCTCCCCACCCACCACCCTCACCCCATCCTCAGCTCTGTTGTAACAGGAGGAGGGGGTGGTGGAAATAAAGTCATCAAGCTAAACGGGTTATAAAGAAGTTGAAGGGAGCTGGAGACTTTGTAGTGTAATAAAGAGGGGAATCCTCATTGCAACGACACTGAATTATTTATGCGCCCTTAGAAAGCGAGCATAGTTTTCACACATACAGAACAGATCGTAGCACATGGCTCGGACTGCCCAGAGTAGCTAAGCCATAAAATTTATGGGGGATGTAATTACCCATTCTCGCTCGTAAATCCAGTTCAATTGTGCTAACCCAGAGTCGCTCCTGGAGAGAGAGGGGGAAGGAGAGAAAGGAGGACGGGGGCCGGAGGGGGCCGAGGAGGGTGGGGAGCGCTGGGGAAGAGGGGAGGGGGGGGAGAGCAAAAAGCAAAGTTGCCTACCCGTGCTAACGTGGATTTTTTTCATCCATGGGTAGACTATGGGTTGCTTGCTGGCGGCGCTGGAGGGATGGTCAGGGGCTGGCTGGCTGCAGGCTGGCGGGGCTGGGGACGGGGAGGCGGAGGCGCCTGAGAGAGGCGCCGGCTCGCAGAGCGGCTGTGATTTCTCGGGGTGGTGGTGGCCCGCCTGGGCCGTGCCGTGGCCTCGCGAATTGCCTGGCCCCTGGAGACTGGTGCAGCTATACTGGCGCTCAGGGTAGCTAGGGCGCGGAGGCGGTGGTGGGTACAGCTCCTGGTGGTGATGCTGGAATCCCGATTCCCTGGTCCGGCCGTAATATTCCGGACTGTGTTCAGGGATGTAGCTATTTTGCGAATATTCTTCGCATGGAGGAAATTTCGGATCGATGTAGTTAGAGTCCATCAAATACGAGCTCATGATCATTAATTTCTGGAGTGGAAAATAATTTTTCTCGCTTTGTCGTTTTTCTGCTCCATAAAGCCCTCCTACTAGCTAGCGACCCTGTAAAGTTACTTTCACCATGTGACTCCGCCGGCCAATCACACGGAGCAACCCAGTCCCCGGATAAGGAACCGAATCGCTTTATTCAAAATGTATCCAATTTTTTTTGTGTGTGTGGTGGTGGTGGTGCTGGGGGGGTGGTGGCCGTGATGCGGGGTTAGCTGGCAGGGGCCGCGGTGCCCCCAATGCACACCCCGCCGACTGACAACCCTCCCCTGCAAAAGGAGATGGGAAGCCCCAGATCCCTTCTAAAGCCTGGGCATTGGGGGGCTGTCGGGAGGCTGTGATTCAGCCCCCTCCCAGGGTCTCCCCTTGGGCCTCCGGTGGGCCCCTCGGGCTTCGGCTCCCGAGCTTTTCTAGAGGTCTCCATTCATGGCGATCCTGTCTCAGTCTGTGTAGGGCACCGTGGCAGCGCCCCTCTTTCGCAGGAAGAGGAAGTTGAATGAGGACTGGAGTGGAGGTTGGATGGGGAGAGGCCCAGGTTGAGCCCAGGAAGCTGGTGAGCCTGGGATGCCCCCCATCCAAGGAGACCAGAGTCCAGCCCCCTTCCCCATACACACTCACCCAACCCTCTGGCCATGGGGCCGGCGAGGCAGGGTCCCAGCTGGACCGGGCAGGTAGAGGCAGCGGGATGCAAATGATTCTGACGTCATTTCTGGAGGTCTGGGGGTTGAGCCCCCGCTAAAGAGAGACAGGAAGTGGTTGGCAAAAGCAGAGTTCAGAAGCCTTGCCCTCCCCGAGTACCCACTAACCCTCCCTTCCCAGCGCAGAGCAGAGGATCTCTCCTCCTGGCTGCTGTTCCAACTCTCCATGCCGTCTGGCCTGCTGCTTTCTGACAACTGCCTCCAAGCCTGGTTCCCAAGGACCTGGAGCAGGGAGGAGAGCACTCTGCCAGGGGCCAGTGCCCTGGGGTGGTGCCCAGCCAAGGCCCAGGGAGCTCTTCTTTCTCCATCCCCACAGAGGGCAGACCTAGCTAAGGGGGAGGCCTTCGTCTGTAGAGCCTGCTTCCGGCCAGGGATTGTATCCATGTAACACATGTGTTTACATGTAAACACGCATCCCCAAGGGCCAGCTCCAGGCTGCCTTCCAAAAGCTGAAGGGTGAGCTCAGGAAGCTGGGGATGCTGAGCGGGCCTTGGGGGTCTCCAGCCCGTTCCTGCACCCTCCCCTCTCTCTGCTACCCACCCACAGGAATACCCTGATGGTGGGGTGGCAGGGCCATGGAGGAGGGAGGGGGCAAGGAAGAGCTGCTTTCTGACACACTCCCCCTCAGCTAGGGGTGGCCACGTCTTGCACCAATTCCAATTAACTGATCCCATAACTCAGAGTTGAGGGGGGTGGCAGAAGGGAGAGCCCAGGGAGGGAGCCGGGTCCCCTTGTTGCACTTGATAACAATTATAGTTTAAAATCATAGCTTGCCGGGGCTCGGCTATATTTTACTTGATAACAATAAAAGTGACACATAAAGTTAACTGTTTATGTTTTATTTATTAGACTAAATCTGCCAGCGGTGGTGGAAGCGCTTGCCTCGTCGCTACAGCTTTTATAGGGCTGTAAAACGTCATAAATCAGTCTCGTGGAATCGCCCGCACTCTTTGTGTCGGCGGCAGCGCAGGGCTGGCGGCCGCTGGCTGCCTGCTCCCTCCTTTCCACGAAAAGTCGTAATGTGATTTTTTTCCCTCTGATTTTATTATTATGATCGCCGCTGTGATTAGTCAATCTACCTTTAATTCACCACCCTACGCTGCCTCCTCCCTGCCCAGCCTGGTTGACACTTGAATAAGTACCTTTTAAAACGGCGCAACAACTATTTGAGGGTTTAATTAGAACATCTGCAATTAAGGGAATGAGGAGGGGAAAGGGAAAAAAAACAAAACCCTTGTGAGAGGGAGGCTGAAGGCGGGAGATTCCCAATCTGTCTCTCACCACCTTTGGGATGTCAGAGAGGGTCCCCACTTCCAAATTAGGGCTCACCCTGAGGGCTGGAACGAGAGCTGGGCCACAGCCGACACCCAAAGGGACTGATTCACCCCGCCTGGGCCCCTGGCTGCCTTCCCTTCTGCAATGCTTAAGCCCCCCACACTCACCCCAGGCTCACCAAGAGCCAGTGCTTGGGGGTCCCTGGATGCCCTCTCCCCAAGAGGTCAGTGCCCGACCCCTACCACCAGATGGGTGAGAGAACCGGAATTCTCTGGAGGTTGACCATCTCTTAGAAGAGGTTCTCAGATTTCCAAAGTTGGTTGAGAACTCCTGCCCACTCCTGTCCGGGACCCTCTGTGTGTGAGGACTGGCTGGTTTGGTTGGAAGAGGAACTTGAGACTGTGAGAAGGGGAAGGCTGCTGCTTGGTTGACAGTGATTTGGAGTGCGTGAGGGTTTTATTATTGGTGGGAGGGGGATAGGTTAATTATAAGTTGTTGGAAGTGGCGAGGGAAACCAGTGCTGACTGCTGATCTACATAAAAATTCTGAACCCAGCCCCAGACTGCTGCCTGGGGAGAGGCAAAGCCCCTGAGAGCTCAGGTAGGGTGGGAGGAAGGCTGCTGAGGGAGAAAGCCTTCCAGCCCCACCCCCATCCTCCCTTCTAGGCCTGCACCTGGATCAGGTAGCCCCACCTCATCCAGGCAGGGAATAATCTCTGCTCCACCTGGCTCCCCTCCTCGCAGTCCTCACATTCACCTTCTAGCAGCCCTGCCCCCGCCTCAGCTCGCTTTTCTTCCATCTCTTCACCCTCTCGGGCTTATTAGGGAGTCATTCCCAAGGCATTGCACATCTCACACCACCACTCCCTAGGATTCTGAGCTCCTGCAGGTGGGTCGAGGGAACGGGAGCAGGAAACCCACTTCAGGCCAGTACGTGTAAGTAGATCCAGAGAGTTCAGATGCCTCCAACCACGTGTCCAATCCATCTTTGGTTATTACTGCTAACAAATATATATGCATTCATACTATTAACATTTATTAATGTATTAAATGCCTCCTTATGCAGCCATAAATCTGTGGAGTTTTCGTTCCAGGTTTTCACAGCTAATTCGATATGCACATCCAGAAAGTGAAATCTGGGAGATTCCCCCAAGTATGCCCACACTTATCTACATCACTTACCAAAACCCTCTCTTTGGGCTCCTATAATAACAAGAAAGTTGCCTATGGGGAAAATAACAAGCCAGACTCTACCACACACACACACAAGAACATTTTCACCAGGATATTATTGCAAGCACAGAAATAAGATCCCTTCGGAGGGCTTCTGTACTTAGCCCTGGCTTAACGGGTTGGGGAGGGGGGCAATAAAGCGGTTCTTGCCCGTGATGAATCCTGTATCTCCTTTTGTGCTTCGCCCTCCTGCCTCCTCAGCCCAGGGATCTCCAACCCCTGCTCTGCCCTCCACCTCTCTCTGCCCCAATTTTATTTTTTATTTTTTCTGATCACCTTTTGCCAGCCTCTAAGCAATCACTGTCTGAATGCCCCCCTCACCCCATATCCTTTCTAAGTCTTGATCTGGTTTCTCTTTCGGAAACATGTTTCAGTACAAAGCGCTTCCCTTTTGACACCGCTGAAGAAAAATATGTGTCCATTGTGTGCGAGGCCTTATTGTGCCCGGATTACCATACTGACCGTTGGATAACCCATATTCCTCCCCTCCCCGGTAACAAGCTGCCGGCTGAGAGACCTCAGCGGCTCCACTGATTCTGCGATGCCTTAAAATCTCACCTCTCAGAATCCCTGGATTTTCCTAGGGAGAAAAATAAGTGGGAGAACCAACTCAGGACTTGGAGGGCAAAGAGAAGGAAAATGAGGGTCATTCCATTTCCCACTCTCAGAAGTGCAGGATGTGGGTGTGTGCGGGCACGCGCGCCCGTGTGTGTAGGTGGTTTTTGTTGTTGTTTTAGAGATTAAAAATTGCAACATGTCTCTTTCTTCTTCCTCAAGTAAATTGACTTTTAGATGGTATACAATCAAGTAATTCATTTCATTTTTATTTTTTCTCCGAGCAACTTGAAAACCCTAAACTAAAGCAAGGCTCCCACTTTTCCCCCTGTGTGTGTATATGTATATGTGTATGTGTTTTGTCCCTTTCTAATGCCAGCAGGCAGGGCTAATGTATGCAAAAGAATATGCAAATGCTTAATTGATTTTTTCTTAAATCTCTTGTCAGTAAAAGTAATGAATTGGTCTAAAATGATTTTAATAACCCAGAAGTGTCACCAGAAAATACTCAACCTTTTTTTTTCTCCTAGAATCGCTTATAGTCTCAAAAAAAAAAAAGCAATCATGGAATGTTAATTTGCCCCCCTTTAAATATTAAAGATGAATCTCTCTTGTTTGTTCGGAGACCATAGGCAAGGTCCTCTCATGGATTTCCCCCTCCTTGCTTTGCCTTTCTTGGAATTCAATTTTCCTCAAATCTCGTTTAAAGTGGCTTTTTAAAAAGTGGCTGCATTTTAATATTGGTTAGACAGAGTGACCTGCATTTCACCTCGGGTGTTTGACTTGTTCCAATAGGTCACTGCCATGGGGTTATTGATGGGGAAACTCCATTGAAATTTGTCTCTTCGCAAATGGCCTTTAGATCTTCCAACGAGTTCAATAACTAGTTATAATGTGGAAGGGGAAAAATGAAGGCCCTGGGCTAACGAATTTGATGTTTCATTTTTATGCTGGAGAAATTGTTAGTTAGAGGTTGGGTTCCCCACCCCCTTCCTTGCCCATCGTGGCCTCACTGACTCTTGTCAAGTGAGGCCCCCACTCTTGTCCAAGGCTGCTGGATTACATCCCCTTTAAAGTTGGGGCTGGGGTGTCCCTTTCTCCCTTTGATGCAAGCTTTAACTCTTCTTTTTTCTTGTTGTTGAAAATTCTGACTTATGGCTGCAGGAAGCTTGCACTGCTGAAGATTTGTAACCTGAACTTTCCTGTTAGAGGGGGAAAGGACTTTTACTTTTAAAGCTCTCTAAACGTGGTTTTGAAAGATCTAGGAATTAGGCTGGCTTAGGGGAGCTTACAAAGAGCTCCCTGACCTAGTGCTCCCAGAATTAAGAAGCCGATAGGAAGGTGGGATTCCTCTGGGGAGCTGATGAGGGCATCTCATCATGCTCTTGGCCTCTGAGCTGCCAGAGACCCATGGGATTAGACACCCAGGACCAAGGAAGGTAGAGACTGGGAAAGGCTAAGGATAGAGGGAGAATTCCAATATAGCAGGCAAGAGAATCCTGGGTCTCCTCCAGGGTCAGAAACAGAATTCATAGGGACTTGGCCCGGTAACTGCTTGCTGAACTTCCTAAGAAGGGCGCCCGGCAAAAGCCCAGTGCCCAAAGATGATGCATTTTGCTGAACTGGAGAGAGTAGAGGAAAATGATGGGGGGGAGTTGAAGATTTTATAAGGTTTCCCCTTTTTTTCTGGAGTTCTTAAGGAATGGGAGAGGAAAGGGCAGGGAAAGGGAGGAAAGGTCTTCATTTTATTCGCCCCAATCACACCCAAGTTGGGGAGCTGGTGACTTCTCCAGAGAAGCCTCTGTGAGAAAGGGCTGTGGAGAGCTTGTTCTCTCCAGGCTGACCCAGCCATACCTGATCATTACCATCATTAACCTCAGTAATAACAAGAACATCATTCCCTCACAAACAGAGCTCCTTGCATGCCTTATTTTTTTCCTCCAGGAACTGTTCCTTCTCGTTCCCTGCCC